GGGTACCCTTTCCCTCTGCCTCCCAATTTCTTTCAGGAAAAGTGACACTGACAGCTGATTGGAGGGCAGGAGGAGGGTGATTGAGGTTTAACTCCCTGCCTCTCTGCTGACAGGCTGTGAGCTTGTCATGGTGGTGTTACTCTACCTAAGGGGATAGCTCCTGGCTGTAGGCCTTTTTTTGGGGGAGGGGGGTCAGTGGTCAAGACCACTGCTACAGCCACAGCCCTCCTTGTATTCTGGAAACTTAACTAACCTTTTACACTTCACGATGCCCACGGGCAATAGCTCCCTATTATGACTAATCTTTAGGTGTCTCATCTTGCTCATCCTTTCTACACATTCTTTTTATTCCATTCTCTTTAATTACCCTATTTGTTTGTAGTCTTGTGTTTTTGGCTGGTATAGGAAAAATACTTACATATAACAAACAAACTCATAGAATAGCAAGATAATGTTTGAAATCTGATGTTACTAACATCAATACAGGTTTGAAAACAATGTATCTGAGGCACATAGACCTGGGTTCTCACAGCCTAAGCTACCAGCACCCACAGCTTCCCTGAGTGAGCTTCTTGTCTCTGGACTCTCCTTCATGGTTGCTCATCGCTTTTTGCACGCTACACCCTAAAATGCAATCATGACCATGTGGACTAAGAGAGAGAAAACAAATTGCCTTTTAGAGAAGATAGTTCTGAGCTGACTCTTACCTGAGCACCATCTTCTGTTTGAAGGTAGTGAGTGGAAAAAGAGGAGTTTCTCAGCGAGTGCTGAACACCAGAGAATGCTCTCCTACCCCGGATAGGAGGTGTCTACAGAAGCAGGAGTGGAACCTGATGACCAAGAGAGACTTATCAAGATGCTTGGCAGCCCTTGTGACTTCCTGAACAAGGGGCACTGGCAAGTGAGATTCTGGAGATGTGAGACAAGGGCCACAGGAGTTGCTTCATATTTGCCTTGAGTCCAGTGTCTTATCTCTTCCTCTCCCCATCTTACCCTCACTGGTTCTCCTGCTGTGACAAATGTTTAAACTGAATCCTGTCACTGCCCACTGTGGGAATGTGCAGGAAGCCTACCCAATAGGATTATGAGCTTCCCTAGCTAAAGTGAATTTGCCTGTGGAGAACAGTGTGGAGTTTCCTCAAAAAACTGAAAATGGAACTCTCATTTGACCCAGTAATCCCACTTCTAGGAATATACCCCAAGAAACTAGAAACACCAATCAGAAAGGATATTTGCACCCCTATGTTCATAGCAGCACAATATACAATAGCCAGAATCTGGAAACAGCCTAGGTGCCCGTCAGCAGATGATTGGATCCAAAAACTTTGGTACATCTACACAATGGAATACTATGCTGCCATAAAAAGAAGGAATTCTCATCATTTGCAGCAACCTGGATGGAATTGGAGAACATCATGCTGAGTGAAATAAGCCAATCAATGAAAGAGAAATACCACATGACCTCACTCATTGGTGGACGATAAAGCTCTTTATAAACTGATGAACCAAGAGACAGAGATAGAGAAAGTAAAGCAACAGGCAGACTGTCAAATTACAGTGGGGAGGGGAGGAAGATCTGGGGGAGATAATAGATCAACAAAAGGACTTATATACATGCATATAAGTACAACCAATGGACATAAAACTCTGGGGAGGGAGGGGATGTGTGGGAGGGAGGGAGGGGTGTAAAAAAATCAATAAAATATGTAAAAAAAAAAAAATAAAGTGAATTTGCTTGGCATCCGTGCCCTGCATGATCGAGCTCATGTGATGTGTTTCCATTTATTCCCAGGACTAATGTATGTACATTAGTTTATTTCAGAGGACACAAGAGTATCCTGTATAATGAAGAGGTAATATATAAATTGCCTATCACTTCAACACACAAGATAGCTTCTCCCATGTGGTCAAAATTGGCTGCCCCCATGTGGACACAGGATGGCTGCCATTGATGGGCAGTAGGAGTAGGCTGTTGTGAACAATCAGAGCTGCAGGGAGGGCAGTTGGGGGAGTACTAGGCCTGCAGAAGAGGACAGTTAGGTGAACCTGTCCTGCAGGTGAGAAAAATTGGGGGGAACCAAGTCAGCAGGATAGAGCAGTTTGGAATGACCATGTTGGCAATGGAGGGCAGTTAGGGGTCACCTAGTCAGCAGGGAAGGGAAGTTAGGGGCAATGGGGTTGGCAGGGGAGCAGTTAGACATGGATCAGGCTGGCTGTGGAGTTGTTCGGGGTTAACCAGGCTGGCAGGCAGAAGCAGTTAGGGACAATTTGGCAGGCAGGCAGGCTAGTGGTTGGAAGTCAGCAGTCCTGGATTGTGAGAATGACATCCAACTGCTCATTTAGGCCTGATTCTACAGGGATCTGGCCTAAACCACCAGTTGGACATCCTTCGAGGAGTCCCAGAAGGAAGAGGTGGAGGCTGGGCTGAGGGACACCACTGTCCCTCTCCCTGTGCACAAATTTCGTGCACCCAACATCTCTTAGTTTTTAATACTGTTTTGTATATTGGGAAGTGGCCAACTATGTAAATCTTAAAGTTTCTCATCACATTAGAAACAAAAAAGTATCTATGTGTGGCAATGGATGTTAACTACGGTGGGCATATTTCATTGATTATTTTACAACATACACAAATACTAAATCATTTTGTTATACACTTGAAACTAATATAATGACAAATATATCTCAGTAAAGCCTGGAAAAATCATATTCCAAAAGTAAGCACACATAGAGAAAAAGAGTCTCTGCTGAAATATTTTCACCCTCAGATGATCATTTATCTCTTAGCCCAGTACCATGTGTTTCAAGCCGTGAGGAAAGGGTTATTCTTATGGGATTGGCCGTTACAAGCAAAACTCTTTCTGAAAAGGGAAGCTGCTCACATAAGGCTCTTTACACAGACCTACAGGGTGTGGAGATGCAGCCACACCTTGGCAGTTTAATCAGCAAGTATGAAAACCTTTATCTCATTAGAAACAGGTCTCTGATCTTCCTATTTTTGGAAGATTTCATAAAAGAGTGGGAGCTGGGTAGGAAGTCCTGTGCTGCCCTGTCCATCAGGGGCTTTACAAAGCATGTTTATTTTCTCAAGTTATCTGGAATTTTTACACTCTCTGTCTATTTTCCAGTCCATTGCCTTAACTACTTAACACATTAGTGTAAAATTTAAAGAAATGAGTAGTTGCACCTTTAAAAGGGTCCACTTCTAGCATACTAATGCAGATTAGGAGAAGGTCTTCTTTCTTTCTTTCTTTCTTTTTTTTTTTTTAAATATATATTATTGATTTTATACAGAGAGGAAAGGAGAGAGATAGAGAGTTAGAAACATCAATGAGAGAGAGTCATCGATCAGCTGCCTCTTGCACACCCGCTACTAGGGATAAGCCGCAACCAAGGTACATGCCCTTGACCGGAATCGAAGCCAGGACCCTTCAGTCCCCAACCCGACGCTCTATCAATTGAGCCAAACCGGTCCAGGTGAAGGTCTTCTTTCTGAGCTGAGCAGCCCTGACCTTGCCTTTTTGAGAAGAAAAATGTGCCCCTTCCTTCCCAGTAGTCAGAGCCCTGCATCTGGAAAAAAGGTTAACCAGGGGATTGTATGTCGGCCCCTTCCCCTACTCTGCCTTTGTTTGGTGCAGTGGGCAAACCATACAGCTCAAACCAGAAATCTACCCTCCTCGTGAACACCAAACACCAAGACCTTAGGAAACTCAACCTCTGTTTTCATCCTCCCAGCCTCCTGGGCTCTAGGACTGGATTTTGACTCTGTTTCTCCCCTAAGTCATTAAACAGGTATTGTTTTCAAGAGTGTTTGTTCAAATGTATTCCTATAATATCCAATGTTTTTGCTCACCTTCACATTTCACATCTCATGTCTTTCATTCCTCAAAGCACATTCTTCACGAGTTCCTTTTAGAGAGTTTGTGGGTGGGAGCCATGCAGGACAGCTTAGGGCTGTGGAGCTGTCAGATAGGCACTCTGACTGGTGGTCCTGAGGGGTGTCCTGTCTAGAGGGATGTTTGAAGGAGAGACAGATGGAGACTGCACAGTGTGGCCTGTGAAGGAGGTCCTGTCCACCTGGAGAGCAGTGGAGGCCTGCCTTCCATACCCTGTGGAATGACTGATTCTCCCCTGCCTTGCAGTAACCTGAGTCAAGAGGGCAAGGCTGTGGTCAGGAAAACCTGGGCCTCTGTGGCTGAATCTGGCAGCTCAGGGGACTAGAACATTTGGCCTGGTCACAGCCTGGGTGGAGGCTTTGCCTAGTGAGGGCCAGCAGCACTGGAAAAGTGGATTGTCACTGAGCCAAACAGGCTAAGGCTTTTTGTTTTGTTTTTATGAATGTTTGAGGGTTTCCCTAGGAAGGCTTTTTCCAGGTTCATCCACCTCAGGAGTTTTGTGCAGAGCCCTCTGGAGAACAAGCCTCAGGGTATGTCTCTGCTTCCCCATCGCTGCCTGAAGGAGCCAACAAAGAGGTAAATGATGGGGTTGGCACAGCTGTTGACACAAGACAGAAGTTCTACAGTCTCAAAAAGAGGAAAGAGGGCACGATATTCATTTGATAACCAAATAGGATGATCCATTGGAAGTCAAAGGGCAGGCCACAGAGGAGGAAGACCAGTATCGTGAACATGATGATCATGTAGAACCTGGTGTGCAGCACCTGTTGGGAGCCACACAACAGTCTGGACATCAGGGCCAGGTTGGATCTAGAGAGCAGAACAAATAACAAAATCAGCCATGCCACAGTGATGAAATCCAACACTTGACATCAAGCATGATTCACTTCCCAATTCAGGAAGCCACAGTAGTTCCCTTCCAGCATGCTCAGCAGCAGGGACAAGGCCCAGAGCAGGGCACACATGATAGCAGACATGTGAGTGGGGCGGTGGCAGCGGAACCAGATGGGCCACAAGACAGACATGCAGCGCTCTGTACTGATGGCGCTGAGAATACTGAAGCATGAGATGTAGGCAAACATTGCCACAATTGAGACAAATCTGCTAATTAGTTCCCTGGCAAAATATAAGTTGAAAATTGAATAGAAAAAAATATATAATATAGCAGCATAAGAAGAGTATTTCGGCCTCTGCTAGGTTGAGGATGTAGACAGAGAAGGCTTTACTGCGCATGCAGAAGCCCAGGAGCCAGAGCATCACTGCATTCCCTGCCAGCCCGACCAGGGCCACGATGGCTGTCAGTATTTGCAGGATTATTTCCCCTGTGTAATGTTGATAAAAGTCCTGATCACTTCCATAGGTTGTTGTGAGCTCGGCCTCCCAGGCTGTGACACTCAAATCCATGTCCAAAAATGCTGCAGTTGTGGGCCTGGAAACAAAACAAGACTTGAGCACCTGCTCTATGACCACTTACCCTCATGGCCACCCTGTCTGTGGCGAATGAAGATGCCAGAGATCATAAATTGAAATTCTTAAAAAAATATTTTTCTACCACCACCCTGAAAAATAACGTACATTCCATCCTCAAGACAGTTATGATGAGAGATAGTATTTCTAAGATGTGATACCCAGGAGGGGGTGCCAACATTTCAAATAAATAAGATGTAAGAAGAAGTCGATCTAATCACAGTGAGAGGGAAAAAGTCCTTGGAAGAAGGACCAAGAAGAGGCTATAAGAAAAATGGATTCTCTTTATTTGATGTCAATTTTTCATTTTTCAGCATCTCTATCCACTGCTGCATCCTGTGGGGATACATGTCTTTGCCTCACCACTGGGCTCCCTTTCCCTCTGCCTCCTAATTTTTAGGAAAAGTGACACTGACATCTGATTATAGGGCAGGAGGAGTGTTAACTGCCTACCTCTCTGCTGTCAGGCTGTGAATTTGCCATGGTTGTGTTACTTAGAGCATGAATCTAAAGGGTGTTTAGTCTGAGAAAAACATACAGAATCTTCATTTCCTACCCAATCAGGTAAAACAATCTTAGATAATAACTAGGTTATATGCAAATTGACCATCACTCCAGTACATGAGATGGCTGCCCCCATATGGTCAAAGATGGCCATCCCAATGTGGACACAAGATGCCCGGTACAAGATAGCTAGCAGGGAGGGCACTTGTGGGTGATCAGGCCTTCAGGTTGGGCAGTTGCGGGGGACCCTGGCCTGTAGGGGAGGGCAGATGGTGGGAAGCAGACTAGCAGGGGAGGACAGTGGGATTAATCAGGTCTTCATGGGAGGGCTGTGGTGGGTGACCATGCCTCCAGAGGAGTGCATTTGGGGATGACCAGGCCTGCAGAGAAGGGCAGTTGTGGGCAACCATGCCTGCAGGGGAGGACAGTTAGGGGCAATAAGGCCAGTAGGGGAGCAGTTAGGCATTTATCAGGTTGGTAGAGGAGTAGCTAAGAGTTTATTAGGCTGACAGGCAGAAGTAGTTAGGGGCAATCAGGCAGGCAGGCAGGTGAGTGAGTGGGAGCCAGCAGTCCTGGATTGTTTGAGGGATGTCCCACTGTCTGTTTAGGCCCAATCAGGCCTGAACTGGTAGTAGGACATTCCTCGAGGGGTCCCAGATTGGAGAGGTGCAGGCTGGACTGAGGGACACACACACACCATGCACAAATTTTGTGCATCGGGCCTCTAGTTTTTGAATGACTATCTATAGTTTAGGACAAGAATTCTTTTGTTTTAACTTATTATATATTATCTCATAAGTCAATAATATTTTAGAGGCTTCACATGTATTAACTGTTGATGTTTATGAAATATTTGTCATATTTGGCACCTGGCAGAATCCTTTTCATTTGCTTTCTAATTTATTCCCCACTGTGATCCTATGAGTAGATAATTTCACAGCATTTGACAATGAATTAACTGAGGCTTGGAGAGGAGAGCTGTAGAACCTGGACTTCAGACCTGGACTTATTTTATTTGGACAGGGATTCTTTTTGTTGCAATGAAGATTGTAAAGAAAAAGCATTCAATAAAAAAAAATTTTCAGATAACTTCAGAAATTTATTGGTAATATCAAAGACAATGGAGAGGTATAATGTTTGTACTAATGCTTTATCTGAGGAAAACTTGAACGACCAGATAAAAAACAACCCATTTAAAGAGATTGGGGAATCACTGAAGCAGGCTGAGGCTGAGGCTGAGGCTGAGGCTGAGGGAAGATTAGATACTTTCCAAGCCTCGCAAGGCAGCAGTGAGTCTCAAAGTTACTTCAGACAGATCAGGACTGCCCTTCATCACTGCCCCACACTGCTTCCCAATGGGTATAGGGTTTCCGCATGAAGGCTTTCTCTAGGTTCATCTTCTTCAGGAGCCCACAATGAGGCTGTCAATAAAATTTATATCCACCAATGAATGCATGTATGAATGAACTAATGAGGAGCTCAAGGGATGAAGAAAATTTGGATTAAATATAATATAAAATTTTTCTTAATAAAGAATTTTGAATGTAAAACAGAAGTCATAACTTTTAACTCCACCACCATAAAACACATATGTAACAAAAACAAAATTCCATTTCTAAGCATTCATTCTGTGAAACGCTCCTGTGTGTTTGAAAGAATTTTTTTATGCCTGTAGACATCTCCTATGCAGGTGGGAGAGGATTCAAGACTGAATGAAATTTCTCTGTACTTTAGAGGAGAAAGAAGCCATTTTGGGAAGGAGAGAGACAGAGGTGGCCAAGGGTGTGAATAGAGATAGTTGAGACAGAAATACAGAAGGGGCATTATTTACTGGTTTTTCTACAATTAGTGTATTGGGAAACCCACTCATTATCCCTGCATTTGATATGGTGTAGAGAGTTCTTTACAGATCAAAGCATTGTGTAAGGGAATTCTCCTGGTGATGGTGCAGGTATGAAGTACTTAGTTCTATTTTACAAAGGGCTTTGGATGAAAAGAGGGAAGCTCTTGCAGAATTTAGGAGAGATTCAAAAATCAACTCACACATAGATGAAGAGGAGCAGCTGATGAGTGGTTACATGGCATTACCTCTTTTAATTCTCCTAATAGCCCTATGAGGGAGAGCTATGCTTATTCCTATCTGGCATAAAGGAAAAGACAAACACAAGAAGGTTGAATGACATGCTCTAGTTCTCATGTGCACAAGTGGAAGAGCCTGGATCTGGATTCACAGGTCTGTGTCACAGTCTTCCCCTGGCCCCTGCCCGGTAGCCCCACTACCAGGGTGGTTTTTCCTGTCCATGTGGGGGGTGGTGGTACAGGAAGCAAATAAGTCTTAGGGACAAATATAAAATACAAATCATTTGTGTGTTTTATTAAGCTGGAATAGGCAAGTTTCACAAATAACAAAGAAGTGAACCTTATCCAGTGTGGAAGAAGAAGTAGAAACCAGCTGAGAAAAGACCAGAGATTCCAGGTACTTTTTCTTGCCTCTGGACAGACCCAATCAGTCAATTCTTGCCAGGTTCAGCCTGGGCAAACTCACCCAAGAGAATCAAACCCACTACCCTTCAGTCAGTGGGCTGCCACTCAAACCACTGAGTCAAACTTGCTAGGGCTTTTCTCCCTTTTTAAACTCAAAACTCAGTAATGATGACTAGATCTGTCTGGGCTTTGTCTTTTTTCTTGTTGTTGTAGTTCACTATTGTATCTTTGGCATTGAGCACATGTCCCTTAGACATCATCTTTTATAATATCATCCTTCAACACAGGAAGAAGCTGAGGCCAAAAGAGACAACAGATTTCCCTGAGATCTCAGGGTGAACATTAGTTCCAATTCCAGCCCTGGTCTCCTTGAGCCCAGCCTGAAGCTTTAGCACTGTTCTCTGTCTCATTGTGGGGTGAGCAACTGACCAAAATCTTCATGTAATCTCAGAACATGAGAGAACTGCAGAAAATACTAGTTTGTCTACATATTGATTTCCTTCTCTCTCACATAATAATTCTGACATTTTTAGACTAGAGTGTGGATTTTAATCCCAGTTTCCATTCGGTTTGATGGAAACATGTGACCAGGTGGTAGCCAATGGGAGGTAAGCACAAATGATGCAACCAATTAGGTCGTGCATTTCCTTCCCCTCTAGGTTGTGCATTCCTCTGGAAGGAATGCTGATGTGTCTGGGAGCCCTGCATGAAAACGAAGTCACCTCTCCAGGACTGGGGAGCAGTAATTAGCTGTGTCTGAAAGAGCACAGGTGTTTGATGCCTTGAAATCACCAGTCAGTTCTAGTAACCTCTCTTGCATTTCCTTCTAGGGTTACCAAAATTGTCAATTGAAATTCTTAAAAATATTTGTATACAACCCACTTCTAAAACAATGTACATTCCATCTTCAAGGAATTTCTTACGAGAGATATTATTTCTCAGACCTGACATGCAGTAGGGGGTGTTAATAGATCAAATAAATGAGATGTAATAACAAGCTGATCTAATCACAGTGTGAGAGAAAAAGTACAAAAGAAAAGCAACTAGGAAGAGGCTATATGAAAAATGGATTCTCTTCATTTGATGTCAAATTTCATTTCCAGCTTCACTACCCACCGCTGCATCTTGAAAGGACACATCTCTTTGCCTCAAGACTGGGCTCCCTTTCCTCTGGCTCTTTATTTCTCTTAGGAAAGGTGACACTGACAGCTGACTGTAGAGCAGGAGAAGGGTGATTGAGCTTTAACTCCCTGGCTCTCTGCTGTCAGGTTGTGAGTCTGCCATGGTGATATTACTCTACCCAAGGAGAAAGCCCCTGTATGTAGGCCTATTTGTGAGTCATAGTGATGAACCACTGGTACAGCCACAGCCTTCCCTGCATTGTGGCAACTTACCATTCTCTTTACACTTCAGGATGCGCAATGCCAATAACTCCCTATTATGATTTATCTCTAGGAACCTCTGTATCCTCTATTGATTTCCCTTAGTCCTGCTAAAGCTTTATACACAGTCTTTTAATTAAACTCTCTTCAATGGCCTTATGTGTTTGTGCCTTGTGTTTTTGGCTGAGATAGGAAAGATACATGCAAAGAACAAAAAAATGAACAAACAAACTCATAGAACGGCAAGGTACTATGTGAAACTTGAGATTATTAACAACAATTCATGTTTGAAAACAATGTCTGTGAAGCAGAAAGGACCTGGGCCCCTCCAAGCCCAAGCTACCAACATCCAAAGCTTCCCTGAGGGAGCTTCATTTCTCTGGACACTCCTTCAGGTGTGCACATGGCTCATTGCTCGCTCCACCCAAGATGCACTCGTGACCATGTGGACTAAGAAGGAGAAAACAAAACTGCCATTGAAAGAAGATAGTTCTGAGCTGACTCTCACCCGAGTACCATCTTCTGGTTGAGGTGGTCAGTGGAAAAAGAGGAGTTTCTGAGGGAGTGCCGAACACCAGAGAATGCTCTCCTACCCAGGATAGGAGGTGTCTTCTGGAGCAGGAGTGGAACCTGACAACCAAGAGAGGCTTATCAAGATGCTGGGCAGCCCCTGTGACTTCCTGTCCTAGGGCCACTGGCAAATGAGATTCTGGAGATGTGAGAAAGGGCCTCATGAGATGTTTCTCTTTTGCCCTGACCCAATGTCTTATCTCTTCCTCTCCCCATCTTACCCCATCTGGTCCCCCTCCATTGAGGAATGTTTGAACTGGAGCCTGTCACTGCCCATTGTGGCTGTGTGCAAGTAGCCCACTCCACAGGCAATGTGAGCTTCTATAGGTAAAGAACACTATCTTGACATTCAAGGCTTTCAGGGCCTAGCTAATCTGATATGTTTCCATTTACTCCCAGGAGGGAGAATGCATATTAGTTTATTTAAGAGGACACAAATGTATATAAACTAAAAATGTAAAGTCTCCCCTAATCTCAATCACCAATAGCCACCCATGTTTACAGTTCCCATTTTAACTTTTTTACAAGTTATTTTATAGCTTTGTGTAATTGTAATGAAATCTCCTTTCTAGTTGTGACTTACCGATATCAACAACTGTGTATATTGTGTTCCCTTTTAACAGGTAAAGAATGTGGCACACCACAGGCACAACTTATCACCTCTCTCTGATTCCCCCAGACATTTGTTAGCTAGATTCTTTTCACATGATGTGGGGACAACCAGTCTTTTCAGCTTTAGCTTTTATAACTTCTTTTCATGTGTTCATGCTGTAGCCAAATTGAGGTACGTGACATTTCCTTAGAAACTTAACTATGAAGCATTTGAAACAATGAGAGAAACTGACTCACTCATTTCTGTGTTTAACCAACTCTACCTATACTGTGCCAGGTAGTGATCCAGGCAGAGATGATTCCATTGACAAATGCTACCAGAGGACCTTTTCCAGGCCCAATTTCCTGAACTGTGCTTATCTAAGAATTTTATTTGCCCTAAACCCAGAGAATCCAATGAGATTAGAGGTAGGCCAACTCATTTATTCAGACTTTTAACCTGTAGAATGCCCCAACCCACAGCCCTAAGCATGAATCTAAAGGGCCTATAGTCTGAGAGAAACATAGGGAATCTTCCTTTCCCACCCAATCAGGTAGGACAATCTTATATAATAACTAGTTTATATGCAAATTGTCCATCACTCCAGCACATGAGATGGCTGCCCCCATGTGGTCAAAGATGGCCATCCCAATGTGTCCGGCACAAGATGCCCGGCACAAGATGGCTAACAGGGAGAGCACTTGTGGGTAATCAGATCTGCAGGGTGTGAAGTTGGGCTGGGGGACTTTATTCTGCAGGGGAGGGCAGTTGGTGGGAATCAGACCTGCAGGGAGGTTAGTTCGGGGAAACCAGATCAGTAGGTGAGAACACTTAGCGGCAATCAGGCCTTTAGGGGAGGGAAGTTGTGAGTGGCCAGGCCAGCAGGGGAGGGCTCGGGGGGGAACCAGGCCTTCATGGGAGGGCTGTTGTGGGTGATCATGCCTTCAGGAGAGGACAGTTGGGGATGACCAGGCCTGAAGGAGAGGGCCTTTGTGGGTGACTGGTCTGGCAGGGTAGGGCAGTTCGCAGCAACCAGGCTGGCAAGTGAGAGCAGTTAGGGGAGACCAGGCCTTCAGGAGAGGATTTTTAGGGGCAACCAGGCCTATAGGAAAAGGCAGTTAGGAGTCACCTGGTTGGCAGAGAAGAGTAGTTAGGGGCAATAGGGTCCGCAAGGGAGGGCAGTTAGGAGTGATCAGGCTGGCAAGAGAGGGATATTAAGGGTGTTCAGGCCAGCAGAGAAGGGCAGTTGTGGGCAACCATGCCTGCAGGGGAAGACAGTTAGGGGCAATCAGGCCAGCAGGGGAGCAGTTAGGCATTTATCAGGCTGGTAGGGGAGTGGTTAAGGCGTGATCAGGCTGGCAGCCAGATGTAGTTAGGGACAATCTGGCAGACAGGCAGGTGAGCAGTTGGGAGTCAGCAATTGTGAATTGTGAGAGGGATGTCCCACTGCCAGTTTAGGCCCAATCGGGCCTTAATGGGTATTAGGACATTCCTTGAGGGGTCCCAGTTTGGGGAAGGTGCAGGCCGGGTGAGGGACACACTCACTCACACACACACACACATTTTGTGCATCAAACCTCTAGTTTTTGAATGACTATTTTTGGTTTTGGACAAGAATTCTTTTGTTTTAACTTATTAAATATTACCTCATAAGTCAATAATATACCAGAGGCTTCACATGTATTAACTGTTGATGTTTACGAAATATTTGTCATATTTGGCACCTGGCAGAGTTCTTTTCATTTGATTTCTAATTTATTCCCCACTATGATGCTATGAGTAGATAATTTCACAGCATTTTACAATGAATTAACTGAGGCTTGGAGAGGAGAGCTGTAAAACCAGAACTTCAGCCCTGGACTTGTCTGATTTGGGATTCTTTTTGTTGCAATGAAGATTGAAAAGAAAAAGCATTCAATAAAGAAATTCAGATTACATGAGAAATTTATTGGTAATATCAAAGACAATGGAGAGGTATAATGTTTGTACTAATGCTTTATCTGAGAAAAAGTAGAATGACCAGATAAAAAACAACTTATTTGAAGAGATTGGGGAATCACTGAAACATTCTGAGGCTGAGACTGAGAGAAGACTAGATACTTTCTAATGCTGGCAGGGTGGCAGTGAGTCTCAAAGTTACTTCAGACAGATCAGGACAGAGACTCTTCATCACTGCCCCACACTGCTCCCTGTCATTTACAGGGTTTACTCTGGATGGCTCTCTGTAGGTTCATCTACTTCAGGAGTGTCTTGGAGAGCCCTCTGAAGAATTAGCCTCAGAGTGTGTCTCTGCTTCTGCCATCGCTGCCTGAAAGAGCCCACAAAGAAATAAATGATGGGGTTGGCACAACTGTTGACACAGGACAGAAGTACTACAGTCCTGGAAAGATGGAAGAGGGCAAGATATTCATTTGAAAACCGGACTATGAGGAACCAGTGGAAGCCAAAGGGCAGGCCACAAAAGAGGAAGACCAGTACCGTGATCATGATGGTCATGTAGAGCCTGGTGGGCAGCACCCGTTGGGAGCCACACAACAGTCTGGTCATCAGGACAAGGCTGGACCCAGAGAGAAGCACAAATAACAAAATCAGCCATGCCACATTGATGAAATCCAACACTTGACACCAAGCATGATGCACTCCCCAATCCAGGAGGCCACAGTAGTACTCTCTCAGAATGCTCAGCAGCAGGGACAGGGCCCAGAGTAGGGCACACATGATAGCGGACATGTGAGTGGGGCGGTGGCAACGGTACCAGATGGGCCACAAGACAGACAGGCAGCGCTCCGTGCTGATGGCGCTGAGAATGCTCATGCCTGAGATATAGGCAAACATTGCCACAAGCGGGAGAAATCTGCTAGATACTTTCTTGACAAAATATAAGTTGAAAATTGAGTCTAAAAGATATATAATATAGCAGCAGAGGATGAGGAAGTCTGCCCCCGCCAGGTTGAGGATGTAGACGGAGAAGGCATTCCTGCGCATGCGGAAGCCCAGCAGCCAGAGCACCACCGCATTCCCTGCCAGGCCCCCCAGGGTCAGGATGGCTGTTAGTATTTTCCATGTATACTTGTAATAAAAGGCCCGATCACTTCCATACGTTGTTGTGAGATTTTTCTCCCAGGCTGTGACAGTCATATCCATGTCCAAAAATGCTGCAGTTGTGGGCCTGAAACAAAACAAGACTTGAGCACCTGCTATATGACTACTGACCTTTATGGCCACCCTGTTTTTGGTGAATGAAGATTGCAAAGATCATAAATAGATATTCTTAAAAAGATTTGTCTACAGAACCTTGATAAATCACGTACATTCCATCCTCAAGTCAGTTATGATGAGAGATAGTATTTCTAAGATGTGATACCCAGGAGGGGGTGCCAACAATTCAAATAAATAAGATCAAAGAACAAGTCGATCTAATCACAGTGAGAGAGAAAAAGTCCTTAAAAAAGGACCAATGAATAAAAATGGATTCTCTTCATTTGGTGTCAAATTTCATTTTTCAGTATCTCTATCCTCTGCTTCATCCTGGGAGGACACATCTCTTTGCCTCACCCCTGGGCACCCTTTCCCTCTGCCTCCCAATTTCTTTCAGGAAAAGTGACACTGACAGCTGATTGGAGGGCAGGATGAGGGTGATTGAGGTTTAGCTCCCTGCCTCTCTGCTGACAGGCTGTGAGCTTGCCATGGTGGTGTTACTCTACTTAAGGAAAGAGCCTCGGCTGTGGGCCTTTTTTGTGGGGGGTCATAGTGAAGACCTCTGCTACAGCCACAGCCCTCTCTGTATTCTGTAAGCTTAACTAACCTTTTACACTTCATGATGCCTAAGGACAATAGCTCCCTATTATGAATAATGTTTCGGTGTCTCATCTTGTTCATCTGTGTACATATTGTTTTTATTCAGTTCTCTTCTACTGTCCTATTTGTTTGTAGCCTTGTGTTTTTGGCTGGTACAGGAAAGTTACCTACATATAACAAATAAACTCATAGAATAGGAAGGTAATGTGTGAAATCTGAGGTTACAAACATTAATTCAGGTTTGGAAACAATGTATCTGAAGCACATAGGACCTGAATTCTCACAGCCTAAGTTAACAGCACCCAAAGCTTCCCTGAGGGAGCTTCTTGTCTCTGGACTCTTCTTCATGGGTGCTCATTGCTCCCTGCATGCTACACCCTAAAATGCACTCATGACCTTGTGGACTAAGAGAGAGAAAACAAAATTGCCTTTTAGAGAAGATAGTTCTGAGCTGACTCTTACCTGAGCACCATCTTCTGTTTGAAGGTAGTGAGTGGAAAAAGAAGAGTTTCCGAGGGAGTGCTGAACACCAGAGAATGCTCTCCTTCCCCGGATAGGAAGTGTCTACAGAAGCAGGAGTGGAACCTGATGACCAAGAGAGACTTATCAAGATCCTGGGCTGCCAATGTGACTTCCTGCATAAGGGGCACTGGCAAGTGAGATTCTGTAGATGTGAGACAAGGGCCACACGGGTTGCTTCATATTTGCCTTGAGTCCAATGACTTATCTCTTCCTCTCCCCATCTTACCCTAACCGGTCTTCCTGCTGTGACAAATGTTTAAACTGGAGCCTGTCACAGCCCACTGTGGGAATGTGCAGGAAGCCTACCCAAGAGGATTATGAGCTTCCCTAGCTAAAGTGAGTTTCCTTGGCATTCAGTGCCCTGCATGATCGAGCTCATGTGATGTGTTTCCATTTATTCCCAGGAGTAATGTATGTACATTAGTTTATTTCAGAGGACACAAGAGTATCCTATATAATAAAGAGATAATATGTAAATTGCCTATCACTCCAACACACAAGATAGCTTCTCCCATGTGGTCAAAGTTGGCTGCCCCCATGTGGACACAGGATGGCTGCCACTGATGGCTAGTAGGAAAGGGCAGTTGTGAACAATCAGAGCTGCAAGGAGGGCAGATGGGGGTGGGTACTAGGCCTGCAGGGGAGGCAGATAATGGAACCAGTCCTGCAGGTGAGAAAAGTTGGGGGGAACCAAGACAGCAGGGTAGAGCAGTTAGGGGTGACTATGTTGGCAATGGACAGCAGTTAGGGGTCACCTGGCCAGCAGGGAAGGGAAGTTAGGAGCAATGGGGTCGGCAGGGGAGCAGTTAGATATGGATCAGCTGGCAGGGAGTTTTTAGGGGGTGATCAGGCTGGCAGGCAGAAGCAGTTAGGGACAATTCGGCAGGCAGGCAGGCTAGTGGTTGGGAGTCAGCAGTCCTGGATTGTGAGAATGACATCCAACTGCTCATTTAGGCCTGATTCTACAGAAATCGGGCCTAAACCACAAATTGGACATCCTCCAACGAGTTCCAGAAGGAAGAGGTGGAGGCTGGTCTGAGGCACACCACTGTCCCTCTCCCTGTGCACAAATTTCATGCACCCAACCTCTCTTAGTTTATAACACTGTTTTGTATATTGGGAAGTGGCCAATAAGTAAATCTTAAAGTTTCTCATCACAATAGAAACAAAAAAATATCTATGTGTGGCAATGGATGTTATCTACGGTAGGCATATTGCATTGATTATTTTACAACATACACAAATACTAAATCATTTTGTTATACACTTGAAACTAATATAATGACAAATATATCTCAGTAAAGCATGGCAAAATCATATTCCAAAAGTAAGCGCACATAGAGAAAAAGAGTCTCCGCTGAAATATTTTCACCCTCAGATGATCATTTATCTCTTAGCCCAATACCATGTGTTCCAGGCTGTGAGGAAAGAGCCATTCTTATGGGATTGGCCGTTACAAGCAAAACTCTGCCTGAAAAGGAAAGCTACTCCCATGAGGCTCTTTACACAGACCCACAGGGTGTGGAGATGCAGCCACACCCTGGCATTTTGGTCAGCAAGTATGAAAACCTTTATCTCATTAGATGCAGGTCTCTGATCTTCCTATTTTTGGAAGATTTCAAAATAAAGTGGGAGCTTGGTAGGAAGTCCTGTGCTGTTCTGTCCACCAGGGGCTTTACAAAGCATGTTTATTTTCTCAACTTATCTGGAAGTTTTACACTGTCTATTTTCCAGTCCATTGCCTTAACTACTTAACACATCAGTGTAAAATTTAAAGAAATGAGTAATTGCACCTTTAAAAGAGCCCACTTCTAGCACACTAATGCAGATTAGAAGGTCTTCTTTCTTTCTTTTTTTAAAAATATATTTTATTGATTTTTTACAGAGAGGAAAGGAGAGAGATAGAAACATCGATGAGAGAGTGTCATCAATCAGCTGCCTCTTGCACACCCCCTACTGGGGATATGCCTGCAATCAAGGTACATGCCCTTGACCGGAATCAAACCGGGCACCCGTTAGTCCCCAAACCAATGCTCTATCCATTGAGCCAAACCAGTCCCTGCGAAGGTCTTCTTTCTGAGGTGAGCAGCCCTGACCTTGCCTTTGTGAGAAGAAAAATGTGCCCCTTCCTTCCCAGTAGTCAGAGCCCTGCACCTGGACATAAGGTTAACCAGAGGATTGTATGTTGGTCCCTTCCGCTACTCTGCCTTTGTTTGGTGCAGTGGCAAACCATATAGCGCAAACCAGAAATCTGCCCTTCTCATGAACATCAAACACCAAGACCTTAGGAAACTCAACCTCTGTTTTCATCCTCCCAGCCTCCTGGGCTCTAGGACTGGATTTTGACTCTGTTTCTCCCCAAAGACATTAAACAGGTATTGTTTTCAAGAGTGTTTGTTCAATGTATTCCTATAATATCCAATGTTTTTGCTCACCTTCACATTTCACATCTCATGTCTTTCATTCCTCAAAGCACATTCTTCATGAGTTCCTTTTAGAGAGTATGTGGGTGGGAGCCATGCAGGACAGCTTAGGTCTGTGGAGCTGTCAGATAGGCACTCTGACTGGTGGTATGAGCGGTGTCCTGTCTAGGGGAATGTTTAAAGAAGAGCTAGATTGAGACTGCACAGTGTGGCCTGTGAAGGAGGTCCTGTCCTCCTAGAGAGCAGTGGAGGCCTGCCTTCCAAACCCTGTGGAATGACTGATTCTCCCCTGCCTTGCAGTGATCTGAGTCAAGGGGGCAAGGCTGTGGGCAGGAAAACATGGAACTCTGTGGTTTATTCTGGCAACCCTGGGGACTATAACATTTGGCCTGGTCATAGCCTGTGAGGAGGCTTTGCCCAGTGAGGGCCAGCAGCACTGGAAAAGTGTATTGCCACTAAGCCAAACAGCCTAGGGCTTTATGTTTTGTTTTTATGAAAGTTTACTGGTTTCCCGAGGAAGGCTTTTTCCAGGTTCATCCACCTGAGGAGTGTTGTGCAGAGCCCTCTGAAGAACCAGCCTCAGGGTGTGTCTCTGCTTCCCCATCACTGCCTGAAGTAGCCAACAAAGAAGTAACTGATGGGGTTGGCACAGCTGTTGACACAGGACAGAAGTTCTACAGTTTCAAAAAGAGGAAAGAGGGCACGATATTCATTTGATAACAAAATTAGGATGATCCATTGGAAGCCAAAGGGCAGGCCACAGAGGAGGAAGACCAGTATTGTGATCATGATGGTCATGTAGAGCTTGTTGGGTGGCACCCATTGGGAGCCACAAAACAGTCTGGACATCAGGGCCAGGCTGAACTCAGAGAGAAGCACAAATAACAAAATCAGCCATGCCATAGTGATTAAATCAAATAACTGACACACGGAAAAGCTTATAAAATTCAACAGAAGGAAACAGATATTTCTATCCAGGATGCTCAGTAATAGGGACAGGGACCACAGCAGGGCACAGGTAACAACTGACAGTCGCCTGGGGCGGCAGCAGCAGTATCAGATGGGCCACAAGACAGGCAGGCAGCACTCTGTGCTGATGGCAGTGAGAAAGCTCAGGTCTGAGATGTAGGCAAACATTGCCACAGCAGTGAAAAATATGTAGATTTTATTGGGGACAAAATCTTAGTTGAAAATTGAATGTAAAAAATATATAATCTTGCAGCAGAGGAAGAGGAAGTCAGCCCCCACCAGGTTGAGGATGTAGACTGAGAAAGCATTCCTGTGTATGTGGAAGCCCAGGAGTCAGAGCACCACTGTATTCCCTGCCAGCCCTACCAGGGCCACCATTGCTATCAGTACTTCCAGAATTATGTTGTCTGTGTAATATTTATAAAAGGCCTG